GACTTGCTATATTTGATTCAAGCACATGCAATCTACTTTCATGCATTACCGCCAGCCTGTTATGAGTTGTTTGGGCCTCCAACATGATGAAAATAGAAAGCTGACTTGCCCTTTGCAGATCCACTTCCCTTCGAATTTGCTCTCTTCGATAGCTCTAAGCTCCGCTTTGAATTAATCCAGCTTCGATGTCACAGCCCCTTCGATTAAGACTCCTTCTGCTTCGGTTTCATGTTTGCAAGGACAACATGCCATTTTGAACTTGGGGTGAACCTGAACAGGTCAAGATATGTGTTTTTGCTTAGCCATGCCAGCCTACTTCATTTCTTCAAATTTTCCTTTTTTGCCAGCTTCAAAGTCCCATTCGAGCCAATCAAGACTTTCCTTAATAGAACCTTGTTATCCATAATGGTTCTGAGTTGAATTGTGCCAAATTCAATTATAAGGCTCCTTCGATTGGACCACCCTTTACTTCGATTTCCTGTCTTTTTGAAGAGAAGTCCCTGGTCGAATCAACTCTTATGGATTTGTGAACAACCAAGACAAGAATCTGGCCTGGACATATTTTTCGATTGCCTTCTTGATGGCCTCTTTCGAATGGCCTGGGGGGAGTTCCTCGAAGGGTCCTTGTCCAAGTACCAATCGAAGGGTATTTATTGGAATATCAAACGAAGAGTCCTTTGCTACGCCAATCAAAATGCTTTGACACAATGCCCATCGAAATGGTTATCGTGAGGCCAATCGAAAGGCCTTTTGCAACTGTCAATCAAAGAACGCTATATAGATGTCAATCAAAGAGCATTTTGAAGATGCCAATCGAAATGAACTTAGTAGGTGCCAATCGAACAACCTTGTTAACAGGCCAACCGAAGGAAACTTAGAAGCAGGCCAATCGAAGGAAACTTATAAACATGCCAATCGAAGGAAACTTAGAAACAGGCCAATCGAAAGAAACCTAGAAACATGACAATCGAAGGTAACTTAGAAATAGGCCAATCGAAGGAAACTTAGAAACATAATTTGAAAATTTTCCTTTTTGTTAGGCAAAGGTTTGTAACCACCTGTGCAAGAGGGGAATCTTGGAAAATATGAGAGGGTAAATTTTGGGGTACAACAGTTTCCCCTGTTCAATCTTCTTAAACCTGAGGATGTAGATTGGCTGGTCTTCCTTTCGTGATCTGAAGGTGGAAGATGATTGAACACTAGAGTGCCTAAAATTTTTCACTCGTATGAGATGATACTTGATTGTGTAGATAGTATTTGGAATGGGATTATAGATTCCATTTGGAAAATATCACGGAAGATCGTCGAAGATGGTCTTAAAGATGCCATCCAGAAAGATGATGATTTCATGAGATATCCCTTTGTGGGGATTACTACTCTTGCTGTTAGAGAGGACTCCATTGAGGAATGTTGGTCTCTGTTTTGGAACATAGAGTTTTAGGAGCTTTAGTTGTCCGTTACTCTACTTGTGAGTCATCACTTGATTGAAGAGATGGAAGTGAACTGCTATATGGTCGGGATCCAGGCTTTACAATGACTTGCTGAAGATGATAGGCTGATTGTTATCTGGTCGTGCTCTAGGCTTCACAATGACTTACTGGGGAGATAAGATTAAACTGTTATCTAGTCAGGATCCAGGCTTCACAGTGTCTTGAATTGTTGATTGACTATTATCCGGTCAGTTTCCGGGCTTCATATCTTCTTTAACTGGGGTAGAAATCTTAGTATCGATTTGACTGGACCAGAGAAAGGTCTCAAGTTGTCTTCAACTAGGATAGAAATCTTAGTATCGATTTGACTAAACCAGAGGAAGACCTTGAATTAACTTTGATTGGCATAATAATCAGGAGAATCTAAGTAGCGACTCAATAGACCCAGACGAAAGTCTTGGTACATCTTCCACTGGAATGGTAATCAGAGAGATCTTAGTGTCGACCCATCTGACCCAGGGAAAATCTTGGGTTAACTTTGACTGGCATAGTAATCAGGAAATATTAGTAGCGACTCAACTGACCCAGATGAAAGTCTTAGTACATCTTCCACTAGAATGGTGATCAGAGAGATCTTAGTGTCGACCTGTCTTACCCAGGGAAAATCTTGGGTTAACTTTGACTGGCATAGTAATCAGGAGAATCTTAGTAGCGACTCAACTGACCCAGACGAAAGTCTTGGTACATCTTCCACTAGAATGGTAATCAGAGAGATCTTAGTGTCGACCTGTCTGACCCAGGGAAAATCTTGGGTTAACTTTAACTGGCACAGTAATCAGTAGAATATTAGTAGCGACACAACTGACCCAGATGAAAGTATTGGTACTTCTTCCATTGGAATGGTAATTAGAGAGATCTTAGTGTCGACCTGTCAGACCCATGGAAAGTCTTGTGAGGACATCTTTCTGATCCGAGATGTAATGGTGACTTCACCTCAGAACTGTCTCTGCCCCTGTACCTGCTGGAAAGATTAACTGTCGGAATTAAAAATTGTTTTTTAGATTTCGCCCCGTTCCTTAAGTCATGAGCAACTGTCCTCCTGTTTCTTATGCAAATATTTGTGAATAGCAATTATATTCAAATTCATATGTCAAGAATAAATCATTGGACATTTTTGCAAAACAAAACAGAAAAAGAAAAAACAAATGGTTTTGTAAAAATGATTTGTATTAATTTCTGAAGTTTGCCTGTAACAGGCGCCGTGTAAAAAGAGGCTGACGTTCTAGTAGGAGAACACCTCCGTAAGAGTGAAGAATATACAAAATAGTGTAAAAAGAGAAGAAAACAACTATGTGTAATAATCCCATTGAGTTTCAATTCTGCTATTGCCCTTATGTCTTCGAGCGTCTCATCACTTTGCTACTTGTCCGAAGCTGACTGGATTGATCAATGTCGTTTGAGCTTGATGGTTGATATTGAAGTCTGGCCGCTGAAACAACCGGATGAAAATCATCAAACAATGAAGTCGCCATTGAACGTCTTTTATCCCACATGTAGGGAAAGGAAAACATCGAGAAAACCCGAGAAGGGAGAAGTCACGGTCTTGCGACTGAGAGATTGGGTAAGGGAGTCTGTTACGCGAGGGGAAGGTATTAGCACCCCACACGCCCGTAGTACTCTACGGTATCCACTCTTGTTATCTATCTTATGAGTGTGTTTAATCTATGCTTACTGTCTACTATACTACTGAAGGGAGAATGCATGCAAAAGAAAGGAGAAAAAGAATGCAGGTAAAATAAAATTATGCTCGCTTGGGCCCTACCCCAATGCCTACGTATCTATTTTAAGGAATCAGAGCTATCGTAGTTCGGCTCATATGTTTTTGTTTGTTTGTGTTTTTTATGGACGAAGTAAATTCCGCCTTCTTCCGCAGCTCGACCTTTGGAGACTTATGCATTGGAACAAAAGTAAATTAATCGTGTCCTTACCTGAAAAGGGTTTTAGGGAAATGGTGCTCGAGCGCACAAAATGGTTTGAATTTGTTTTGTATTTTTGTTGCAGATAATGACTAGTCGACCTCAAGAGAGAGATATTAGCCATTTTTCTACTTAGTCATGAAAGGAGCCTTTGAGAATTTAACAACACCTATGCTTGAGATGAAGAACAATAAGATCGAGAAGAGACCCGCTTATCATTTCCCGTACTAAGAAAAAGCATGATTCTCATCAATAGTTTTAAAGTTTTTTTTTTTTTTGAATTTTGAAAGAGAAAGAAGTTTTAGTTTTAGATGCATATGCAAAAGGAGAAGAAAAGTCAAATGGGGACTAGCCTATTTCTAAACCTAATGTTATCGTGCATTAGTAGACCTGAAGTTAGAATTTTGGGGGAATTCTACCCAATGTTAGCATGCATATGGATTGCGGTAAAGTAAGAATAAAATAGAGTTGTGATGATACCGAACGGAGGAGGTCCGTTGCCTCTTCATAACCATGCAAGCGATGAGAAAATTAAGTTAATATCTAAGCATTCCTCAGCACCAAAGTTGCACCAACATTCTATCACAACATCTTAACTAACAGAGAAGGTCTGTTTCCTCTCTAACATGTGCAAAAGCTCGAGCAAGACTATCAGAAGCTCCACCCATAACCGACCAAATTAGAACTCAATCACCTCACATCCAAAAATAAAAATCGCATTAACATCCTCTCAAAAAAAACATGGCAAGAAAGTGTCAACAACTAATTATTAAATGATTAACAAATAATAATAAGTTATTATCAAACCATAATAATAAGAGAAATTAATTCTAAAAATTTTCTAAACCAAATCCTAAAGAAAATAATTACTATCTTTTATGCGTCTTTTTTATCATGTGAAACAATTGCTACCAAAAGAAAATCGATAAAAACCATTAGTAAAAAGTAAACAAAACATTGAAACAGAGGGAGGTGTGGAGCCTGGTTCAAGTGTGTTGCCAAAAAACGCAAGGCCCATATAGCAATATCCACCAGCATATTTTTGTTGTTGTTGCTTCACTTGATTCAAAAAAACAAATACAATTTGGCCTAGTCCATATGTCACCAATAATCAGTAATTTTGTTATAAAAAAAACTAAAACGGACCAAGAGGGGGGTACAGTTTGGGTCCAAAACCCACGACATCATGATACAATTTTTTCGTTATGAAATTAGGGTTGGGCACGCCGTTTCACTCTTCTTCTTAGTGGTGCACAACGAACCTCACTCTCTTATCTTCTTCGCGCCTTCGACACCGCGACACCGTGGCTCCTCTATCTTCATGCAATTCGGTCTCAACCTTTTCTCCTTTCGGGAATCTAGCTTCTGACATCTCAATTAGAGTTTCAATCGATGGTGATTCACATCAGTGAAGATAGAAATCCATAGATGTTCTTCGAGATATCATTCAGGTACTTCCTCTTCACTGCCTCGCATTTTTGTCTTCTGAGTTTCTGCATTTTTGCGTCGTTGTTTGAAGTTGCGGTTGCGCAGTGATGTTGTTATGGTTGTTGATGTGCAGAGAGATTCCGGATGAACATGGGTGATGACGGAGATGAAGGCTGAAGGGGAAAAGGATGGCTATGAATGTGTTGCTGTCGAAGGTGAAGAGCAAAGAGGATGGAGGTTAATGGTGTTTGATGTGTGTGGAGAAGGTGAATGACAATGATTCAGTGGGATTGAGGGTGAAGGTGGTTTTTTAGAGGGAGAGGAGAGTACGCAGTAGAGTCTCCAAAAAATTAAGACAACTTTGCTATCTCATGCTTATTGGAAAGGGAATCCTTATGTTGCTCAAACTAGACAAAACCTTCTACAATGCAATGTTACATTAGAGAAGGATTGGAACACTCTCATATACGTACAGGTAAATAAATTTCCATAAAAATTTTCACAACTTTTCATTGTAATTCATATCAAAGAAAAATTAATGCATCGTATTTATGTTTGGATAACAGGACTGGATTCAAGAATTAAATCAAGGTTTCAAGAAATCTAGTTTAGGAGATCAATGCACTCACAGGTAGTATGGTGAATGCTTGTGATTCAGGAGTGTGCTCATCTCTAGATCTCAGATTTTTGATTTCTCACGATACCTTACACTTATATGTATACATTGTTTTTGACTCATAACAGATACAAGATATACATAGAATGTTGGGCTTGGTTGAAGCAATGCGCAATGAAGTTGCAGAGCTATCCAATTTGCAGAAGATGAATTGATGAAGATATGCAAAATAGCAAAGGTTGTGGAGAAGAGGATGAAGATGTCTCGGTGGTTTTCGCTAAAAAGAAGTTCAGAGAGAGAGAGCCCAGGTTCTAAAGGCGAGTACCTATGATCTCTCAGAATCAATCGTATCCTCTCCTCCTCTTTCTGATTTGCTTTTTTTCTCTTGGCTGGAAGTTTTTTGTTATGTCTTGACTTGAATTTCTTTTTCTTTCTGTATTTTCTTATCCATCTGACGAGAGAGTTGGAGGGAGCTTTTATAAAATTCTGTTTTTGGTTTGTTATGAATTCTGTTAGGATAGTGAGAGTTAGGTTGCAAAAATGATATGGGTTAGTTTTCTGTTAGGGACTGTTTTTTACAGTTGAGTTCTGTTATGCTTGGTTTGGTAATTGGTTAGGATTGGCTAGAAGTTAGTTAGGCTGAATTTGGTTAGCAGTTTTTTCTGTTTTGGTTATTGTTATAGAAGTTAGGAAAAATGGTTTTGAAAGTTGGAAGCTATTATGTTATAGGCTTTTTCATTATGCAGGTAATTTTTTGTTAAGTTGGGATTTCAATTACAGGGTAGTTTGGAAAATGGTTGGGTGAAATTCTGTTCAATTTCTAATTTTTCTGAAATATGCAGGGCCGATTATTTGGACTATGACGAAGGCTTGAAACATGAAAGGCCTGAAATGTTGGTACATGTAGATCTCAGAACTTGAGCAACGTGAAGAAGATTGAAGGTGGAGGTTGGTTATGGAGTATTGAAGATTTATTAAAGCATGTCATATATCATGAAGTTGATGACGACATAAAACCTGAAATCTTTCATAACATTTGTAACAGTATGGATGTGTTTTGGATAGATTTTCCATGTAAATGAATCGTTCTTTTATATTGTCTTTGTAATCTTCTCTTGTAATGCTCCAATAACATAGCTTGTAAATCGCATGGTTATGACCTTGTATGAACGAGAATGAAGTTGGATAACCCCTTTTAAAAAACCATGTGTGATGTTTTAGCACTTGTAAAGATCATATCATTGAATGAACGTGAACCCTTGGATCTTGATGAGTTTTGATGAACCAAACTAAATGAGTAACCTTGAATGATGTTATGACTTGTAATTCTTTGCAAATTCGTAACTTGTACACCAAGAGAACCACATGAACGAATCTTCCAACCTTATCTTGAATAAACCATTGCCAAATCACGAAACTGAAACCTTGAACTAATATCAATCTTGAGCATAATTAGAAGTTTCAACGAATCCAATTCAACAATCATTAGTAAGCCAAGTTACTTGCGATGTGAGGTAACAAGTATTCGAAAGAACGATGAATTTTTGAACTTAATGTACTTACAACTTCATGCCATATACACGGCTTGCATTTTACAATCCAATCCACACTATATCTTGACTTCATGGACAATAACAATGTCTTGAGGGCGCTTCGAAGTACAGAAAGAAACGTAATATGAAGCCCAATGCACCTTAGTCAATAGATACTACAAATTCGAACATAGAAGATGTGACACCCTAATCAACTTGTGTTTGATGAATTATTAATGGAGGATGATATTGTAGCTCGATGAACACAAAACCCATGAACATAAAACCCTAATTCCACAACATCCATGAACACAAAACCCTAATTCCCAATTTTACTGCCTTGAAAAAATAACTAGAAGGATCAGACTCTATTTGAACATATACACCTTAGCCAGTTGATAAAACCCTAATCCTGAAGGTTCTCGACCCCTTGCGAAATTACGTTGTTAGCGAATGTATGCAATGTTAAATGACCTAATGGAGATATGTACATGAGAAACGCGCGACAATGCATAAACCAGATAAAAGTAGAAGGGTAGGACAAATTTGGGGTATTACAGTCGCAAGGTGATCCAATGGGACATAGTGATATGCTTCAAATACCTAACTTTTTCCTGGACCGCCCTTTCGGATTTTCAGTCCACCGGGATACCCTTTTTTGCCCACGTCGCCTTTTAAAGTTTTCGACTTACCGGGTGTACAGATATTTTTTGTTTTCATCCCTAATTTTTGCCCGAACCCTTTTGGTTCGCCGGGATGCCCTTATTTTTTTCTAGGCCAGTCAACCTAGCGGGTCTTATTCATGCGTAGTATCTTTTCAATATGTCCGAATTAACAGGGTGAGGAAGGTCGTCACCATCCATGGTGGTCAAAATCACGGCTCCACCAGAAAATATCCTTTTGATCACAAATGGCCCTTCGTATGTGGGAGTCCATTTGCCCTAGGGATCACCTTGCGGCAGTATGATGCGCTTGATCACTAGATCCCCGACTTGAAATACTTGGCGTCTGAACTTTTTGTTGAAAGCCTTGACCATCCGTTTTTGATACATTTGACTATGACAGACAACAGTAAGTCTTTTCTCATCAATCAGATTCAGTTGATCAAGTCGAGTCCGGATCCAGTCATCTTCGTTCAAACCCGCATCCTTCATGATTCTCAGAGAAGGGATCTGGAACTCAATAGGCAGGACAACCTCCATACCATATACCAGAGAGTAGGGTGTTTCCCCTGTCGACGTTCGTGCTAAGGTGTGGTACCCATGAAGAGCATAAGGTAACATCTCGTGCCAGTCTTTGTATGTCAGTGTCATCTTCTGTATGATTTTCTTAATGTTCTTGTTAGCATCCTCCATAGTGCCATTCATCTTCGGCCGGTAAGGGTAAGAATTATGATGCTGGATCTTGAACTGTTTACAGATTTTAGTGATCATCCTATTATTGAGAATCATACCATTGTCCGTGATGATTCTCTCTGGAACATCGTACCGACAAATTAGGTTATGCTTGATAAACCGTGCCACAACGTTCTTAATAACAATAGCAAAAGAGGCAGCTTCAACCCACTTCGTTAAGTAATCAATGGCCACCATGATGAAGCGATGCCCATTGGAAGCGGTAGGTCTAATCTCCCCGATCATGTCAATGCCCCACATTGAAAAGGGCCAAGGAGTCGTCAAGACGTTCAAAGGAACCGGAGGCACATGCACCTTATCAACATAGATCTGGCATTTATTACAAGTTCAGGAATGCTGATAGCAGTCTACTTCCATGGTGGACCAATAGTACCCTGCTCGTAGGATCTTTTTAGCCATGGTATGTCCACTAGAATGGGTTCCAAAGGTACCTTCATGTAGATCTGTCATAATCCTTTCTGCTTCGCTCTTGTCTATGCACCAAAGTAAAGTAGAGTCATGGTTGCGCTTATAGAGGATTCAACTACTGAGGAATAACTTTGCGGAGAACCTTCTCAGAAACTTCTTATCGCTGACAGATTCCCCCTCGGGATACTCTTGTGCCTCGAGATACCTCTTCACTTCCTGAAACCAAGGTTTGTCTGCTACTTCTTCGGTGTCTATCTCGTAGCAATAAGCTGGTTCATCCAACCTCTCAATAGTGATCCGAGGAGCCTCATTGTCCCACTTGACCTTGAACATAGATGACATGGTAGCTAGCGTGTCCGCTAACTGATTCTCTTCTCGTGGAAAATGTTCAAAGGTGACCTCTTAAAAGTGTGGAAGCAATGACAGCACATGTTCTTTGTATGGGATGAGATTCGGGTGCTTCGTATCCCACTCTCCGTTGATCTGACTTATTACCAAAGCTGAATCCCCGAACACGTTCAAGAACTTGATCCTCAGGTCGATAGCAGCTTTGAGACCCATGATTCATGCCTCATACTCCGCCATGTTGTTGGTACAGTTGAAACATAATCTGGCAGTGAAAGGAGTATGACAACCTTCAGAAGATATAATTATAGCACCAATGCCATTGCCGAGTGCGTTCGAGGCTCCGTCAAAAACCATAATCCATCGGGATCCTTCTTCAACTCCTTCATTCGGTCCAGGTTCTTCATAGTCAGTCACAAGCATAATATTCTCATTCGGGAACTCAAAATTCATGGACTGGTAGTCATCCACAGCCTGATGAGCCAAATGATCAGCTAATACACTTCCCTTGATTGCTTTCTGGGTTGTGCATTGGATATCATATTCGGTCAAGATCATTTTCCATCTTGCTATTCTTATGAAGAGGGAGGGCTTATCGAAGATGAACTTGATCGGATAGATCTTAGATATCAGCAAAGTAGCGTGGGTTAACATATACTGTCTCAGCCGGCGAGCAGCCTATGTCAAAGCGCAACAAGTTTTATCGAGCAGTGAGTATCTAGTTTCACAGTTGGTAAACTTTTTGCTAAGGTAGTATATTGCGTGCTCTTTTCGACTAGACTCATCATGCTGCCCCATCACACACCCCATTGAATTATCTAACACTGTTAAGTACATTATTGTCGTACCCGAAATTTTGCCCTATCTATTTTATTTTTTTATCTAGTTTTTGAACTTTGCATTCCATTTGCATCATTTTATTATTCAGTCATTTGCATATCCCGCATCTCAGGGAATCAGGCGCTTTGGTTTAAAGTTTAAGGGTTGCGCCCTCTTTATGTCTAATCTTGTTTTGAGGGTTTTTTTATCAGGTAAAAAGGAAGCACATCTGGTTCTCGATTAGCGGATCATGGGATGAATTATGTCATCAGGTTACAAGGTTGGTTCTCGCTCAAATTTATCAGTGTCTGGTTTAGGGTTTATTTCCCTATGTGTGCTGGTCAAGATGCTAGGGTTTTCAGATTTTTGGTTCCTGTGAAGATGTTTCTTCCGCCTGCCTCGAGGATGGCTCAAAGCTCAGTGCATTAGGAAATGAGGCTGAGGGTTCATGATAATCAAGACTTGTTTTTGTTGCTTAAGTTTCAAGCTATGGTGGGCTGAATGTCAAGGTCAGAGTTCTGTTTGAGAAGTGAGAGTGTGGTTCAGACATGATTTGAAGATCAAGGTTTAAAGCGACCGGTGTTTTGGGTTTGAATTAATCAGTGGAATTAAATTCTTGAGCATTAATTTTGTTTTGTTTGAGAGTTTGATTATAAGACGCGTATTTTGTTTGGAATACAAGTTAGAACCA